CGCCCCCGCTCCTCCTCTTACTCCTCCTCCTCCTCCTCCTCCTCCTCCTCCTCCTCCACTTCCTCCACGACTCTTCTCCAGGCCCAGTTTGGTGAAGATGCCCACCAGCACCATGATGGCCACCACTCCACAGATGATGTAGACAATGAGGTGTGTGCGGTCCCGTTCCTGGTCCTCCTGGCCCTCGGTGATGGTGGCCACAGGCTTGCCGGTGTTGGCCCAGATTGGCGTGTCGTAGTTGGAGCAGATTCTCTGGTCCAGCCGCTGCTGACGGAACTGGCAGCAGAAGCGATAGAAGCAGGTACCACAGCAGTACAGAAAGACACCGGCGTTGCAGTTGAACGGTGGGTCCCATTGGCCCATCACATCGTAGTAACCCTGGCAACGTGTGCCACCAGCTGGGGGGACGTCCTCGTCATCTGCATCTCCGCCGCTGGTGGGAGTAGACAGACCTGTCTCTGCAGGAGTGTTTTGAGTGGTCTCCACATAGCTGGGAGTCGTCTGGTTGGCCAGTGTGGTGGGGACGACAAACTGGTCACCTTCAGTTACTGTCACCGTGGTGACAGATGCGTCCTGGGTAAGGGCAGGATGAGTTACAAGGAAAGGGAGGAGGAAGAAGAGGAAAAGGTGGCAGGAAGAATGGTTGGTAGCTGCCATGCTGCTGCCCTTCTGCCCGACGTCTCACCTGCTGGTTTTGGACAGGAAACATAGACGATTGGAGTCGGAAAAAATTAAATTACGTTCAGAACCCTTATTTTACTTTTACAAATTCATTAAAGCAAAGTTGAAGTTATTTCCCAATGTCACGTCCATTATAGTCATCATGAGGTTTCGGAGATGCAAAGCTGCATGTATGAGACCAATCAAAAGCAAGCAGACGTTTCCCGACAGTTCCTGGAAATCTCATTGATTTTAGCTAGACTGATTAAACACATGATGTATCTATTGATCTTACATGCTTATGGAATCAATATTGAAAAGAGGGTAGAGGACGTTTCAAACAGGTCAGCCAGAATCACTGTTGGAGACTGTAACATACAGTGAGACGTGATCATTATTCAACTTTTTAGACTGAAAAGAGCAAATGTTCAGAAAGCTGTCCTACTGAGAAATGATTGTAAGTAGAATATTTGCTCTCTTAAAATGGAAAAGTCCAAATCAAAAATAGCACAACATGCTCTTACCTTCAAAATAAGACATTATCCCCTTTTTTTCTTTCGAAATAACAAACAAGACTCATTAAGAATTTTCTAAAAGCCCTCTCACCTTTTTCTCTACGCAATCTGCACACAGTCGACCTTCCTCTGCGATTCTTCCCCAAAGTTCAAGGGCTAATAATTCCCTCTAGAAATATCCACAAACTTTACTCAGCAGCATTTTTCCCCTGAGTGTCCCCACAGATCTCTCTCTCTTCCTCATGTGTTCTCCATCGTCAGCTGGGGGCTCGATCCAGGGAATTCAACAAACAGAAAACGACACGCTCCTCTTATCCTCTTCGCCCTCTTTTCTCCTCCTGTATCACCTCTTCTTCTTCTCTTCTTCTTCTTCTTTAAGGGCTGCTCAGTCTGTGCTGGCAGGTGTGAGTCCAGACCAATCCAGGACTGTTAGGGATCTGCTGCTGCCAAGACCCCTGTGTGAGTGTGTGTGTGTGTGTGTGTGTGTGTGCATATATATATGTGTGTGTGTGTGTGTGTGAGAGAGAGAAATTGAATGAGAGAGAGAGAGTGTGTGTGTGGCTGCAATGAGCGCTGCAACAGTTCAGGAACCAAATGAGATCTCCTCCCCTGTTTACCTCTCCTCGGTGCCAGATAGACAGAGAGAGAGAGAGAGAGAGAGAGAGAGGAGGGAGGAGAGGGAGAGAGTGTTTGTGCATGTGTGTAATGGGGGGGGGGATATATCCAGCTGCATCTCCCATCATCCCCAGAGGGAAAAAACCCGGGAGGAGAGAGATGGGGAAAAAATTAAAAGTGGATGAAAAAACAGAAATGTGGACTGTCACTAAGTGATTTTTTAAAATATTTTTTTTGTTTTGTTGTGTCTCTCAGTCTCTTTTCTGTTTCCATTCCTGTGTGTGTGTGTGTGTGTGTGTGTGTGTTTTACTGTATGTCAGATGTAGTTGTGTGGCAGATGGAGGACAGTCAACATCTGCTGCGGTCACTCCTGCTCATCATCTACTTATTGCTCTCCTCGTCCCCGTCTGTCTCTGTCTCCTGCTTTTCCTGCACAAACACACATACACACACGCACACCTTATGCCTTCTTTTTCCCCCTCCCAATTGCTCATCTCCCACTCTCTTAGCGTGTCTTCCCAGCCCTCACCTTGCGCCTTGGGCATAGATAACACACTTGTTTGCAGATTTCTGTGTACGTATGTGTTTGTGTGTGTGTGTGT